ACCAATTTTTCTTAATTTAGAAAAATCAAATTTATAGTTCTATAAGGTATGAAGCACGATGAAACTACTCGGGGGTTTTCCAAACATGCACATATATTCTCCTATTCACGAATACATTATCTTGGATATGTTCCCTCATACATGGATGAATATATTGTTTTTTAGTATTTTTTATTGAAATATTTTTCCATTTTTTAATTTTAAATCGTGGTTGGCTAAAAATTTGAAGATGTCCCCGAGGCAAAAGTTGTTTGAATTCTTCTTTTACATAACATATATTTTTTGACAAGGATTTTACCGTAAACTTAAAAATGGATTATATTAATTTATAGGGGTAACTACGGCGCAGTCACGAAAACAGTTTGTAAATGCACTTAAAACTGCGTTTTCACACTTCAGTCACAGCCCGAGTTTGAAATGCATTTCAAACTTGGCTCGGTAACAGTTCAGTCAGGGCCCTTGTCCATCCATGAGCAGCAGATGAGAAAAAAAGAAAAAAAGGCATCCCTTATGCGGTGATTGCGGTCCGATACAGGATGTACAGTACTTGTCTGGAACCCGTGGAATCCGCCCTGCCTGGCTGGCAGGGCGCTACAACGACCTCACAACAAAAAGGAAACAAAAAAAAACGATATGATTCTCGGTCCTCACATACTGGCCAGATACATTCCTCAAAGGACTGGTGTAACTTGAGCTCCCCACGTACGTGGATTCAAAGCTCCTCGTTTCTTCTCTTTTTTTTTTCTTCTTTTTTCTTTTCCTTTTTTTTTGGCTCCATCCGCGTTTGCCTGTGAAAGGTGGCTGTGGCCGAGACATCTCGGCCGTGGCCCATCTGGGGTGCGGCCGAGACATCTCGGCCATGCCCCACCCATGGGACTGTTTTTTTTTTTTTTTTTNNNAAAAACCGGCCATATGCCTAACTGAACTGCTAGAAAACGCCACCCCGAGTTTCAACTGTATTTGAAACTCGGGGCCTGACTAAACTGCTAAAACGAAGTTTGAGATGCAATTACAAACTGTAACCCTGACTGCGCCGTAGTTATTTCTAATTTATAGCTCTACAAACTAGTATTCGAAGAACTTCGTTTTTACCAGACTGCTGAAAATGACATATAGTTCTATAAATGAGCATTGACTGAAACTGTTTTTTTTAACGTCTTTCGACTTCGTCTTGCAGTTCTTAGAGATTGTCTTGTTTGAGCTATGCTTTTTTTCAATCTACTGAAAACGACTTATAGCCTTATAACATGTTTTTTTATTGGAAAGGATTTTCTTGCACATTTTGAGAATCACTAGACTTTTTGCCAATTTTTTTGCCGCCTTTCTCAGGAAACAGTTAAAAGCACTCTCTTTTATGTGTCAAACAAAAGAGTTTGACTTTCACTTTTTCTTTCTATAAAAAAATGTTAGGTTTTGTGGTTTTCACGAAGTTAGTGTTTTAGTCGAAAACTCGATCTCAAAATCATAGCACAGGGCAACAACCCTTTTCTTTCCTTTCATACAGATGTCCATTGGCCATCCGGGGGCAAGGTCCCACTTGCACAAATTAGGAGATTTCGGCCATTGATCTTTGCTATCTACGGTCAGTATCTCTTAATTCGTGCAAGTGGGACCTAGCCCCGGGTATACCCCCAGACCATGCATGGTACACCAGCGTTCCAAGATACAACCTCAGGACATACACTAACGCATTATAATCGCACGATTCCAAAATCAGCGGCCAGATCGAGTCCTCCTGAAAGGGGGACTTGATCTGGCAGCTGAATTTGTGATTCTGCTATTACCTGGCCCACCTATTGATGCCTACCCTGCTATTGCCCTGTGCGCGGTCCTCCTTTTGGCTGGTGCTACCAGCCATTTTGGTCCCGCACCCTATACGAGCTGCATATTTGTTGTTCAAGTTGGGCCTAGTATACGGGTCGGATCCCGAGTACTTACTGTAAGTAAAAAGTGGTGTTTGGGCAGATCCCACATGTTTCCGGGGCAACTTCCCGCTTCTCCGCCCGAGTGGAAACGTTATACGATGTGGCAGGTAGGGAGTGATCGGCGCCAAAGAGATTCGGAGGAAAGCACTAGAGACCCCGGCCCGTACACTGCTTTTTTTTTTTTTTTCCAGATAAACCGGACCAGCATCACTAGGCAACGTGATATGAACAACCTCCCCTTGTGTGCGATCCAGTTACTCCAATCTATTGGTGGGGAGTGTGTTCCGATAAAGAGGGCGGTTTTTAATGTTTTTTTCTTTTTTTTCCGGTCCATGTGTGCTGGACCTGGTTCGTCCGTCGACCGGAGGCTGTGTGACATAGCAGGCCGATGCGGAACTGAGGGACTCGAGCACCGCGGTGGGGACAAAACGCTCCCCACTGAAAACAATCACCAAATCGACTCTGCTTATGGCCCAGTAGTGCCTTTCCCATTGTGGTCTGGCTATTTCGGAAAGGCTACGTGGAGCACTTATCCCGCAGGTTGCCATCACCTCCCCACTTTACACTTGCGCTCCACTGCTATTCACATCTGCTTGGAGCTCGTCTTTCGTTTCGCCATCGGTGTGATGACATCGCACGTCCCCGTGAACGGTGTATGATCTGTAGGCGTTCTTGGGGGCAGTGTGCATAGCGGAGACTTGGCGTTGCGTTCGTGGACATAGCCATGTCGCCCTCCATCCTCAAATATTTTGATATCAGGGCATCACCGTGCGCTTTCCTGCGTGCCCTCGTGGCAGACTGCAGTTCGTCGATAAAGTGGGTGCTTGGAGTTCTCCCGTTTGCAGGTTGGAGGCCAGCCGTTTTTGGATGATTGATATGTTGGACACTGTTTTTTGGTAAATCCGGCACATGGCAGTTGTGAGTGGATTTTTCTTCGTCCGTGAATCCTGTACAGCTGTGTGATGGTTTTCTCTCTCTCTCTCTCTCTCTCTCTCTCTCTCTCTCTCTCTCTCTCTCTCTCTGTGTGTGTGTGTGTGTGT